ACACACACACACACACACCCCTCACCCAGCGTGGAAGAGATCTTGACACACACACACACACACACACACACACCACCCCCCTCACCCAGCCATTGTAACTTATTTTTGGCATCAGACACAAGAATACCAGTGTGGAAGAGATCTTGGCGCGTCAGAGCGAGTTTCTAAGAAATAAAGTAAGTCTCTACGTTTGTTTTCCTTTTTCTGAACGTAAGCCTTCCACCCATGACCCTGGTTGTTTGGACCTCTTGCTCTGACAGATTAGATAGTAACGGAATGCAATTTTACCCATCGAGGGGTAGAATCTGTGCCCGATGTATGAGAATCGACAACTTCCTAGAGCACGTTCTCTTAGATCACGCTAGTCGGTGACAGGTGGCCACGGCTCCCAGCTCAGGCCTCACACCTGCTGAGTTCCACTCAGGTCTCATGGCAGCCAGAGCACAATTACCTAGTCAATCGCTTGGGAGGGAACATCACCTTGGAGATGTGACCAAGTTCACACCGCTGCAATTAACCAGACGAGCCCAGTGTGATGTCAGTTAACACTTCATAGTCGTAAGCCTGTCTTCTAAGCACCACTCACATTAAGGTTGAGCTCTATTTAAAGGCACCAAGTCCCCCATTTGGATGCTAATTAGCAAAACACCCACAAAGCAGATTCACTTAAACCCTTCACCTGTGGGAAGAAACACATCAAATAAATGACGTGTCAAGTGAAATAGCGCTGCCAGCACCTGGGCAGTTCCTGGGGAGCCTGCATCTCATGTATGACCAACTGACAGCTACAGGGGGCATCAAACAACTGCAGAAAAACAGAGTCAAAATAAAATCGATTCTTTTCCACAAACATTTTGGAACCCCTTCATTGCCATTAAAATGTCCAGGTATGTAAGAGTGGTTTAGATCATATTTGGAAGTGCACCCAAACATTATTATCACTGTTCTTTTATTCTTATGTTAACAATGGTTCCATGTGTGCACGGGTTTGGATTTGTGGCAGGTCCGATCCCATGGGTCTCTCGGTGCCCCATGCCAAAGCAAACTGTCACCCCAAACAATTACCTGGCTTTACCCGGTGGGCTTAAGGCACTGAAGTGGGTTGCACAGTGGGGGAAAAAAATGTTTTTTTGTTTTGAAAGTGTTTTGAAAGTGAAAGTGTTTCTTCAACGTCTTCTACACATTGTTGCTAAGTGGCATGGATTCGGCTTGGAACAGAACTAAGCCCTGCGCCATCCTTACAGGGGTTCCCATGTCTGAGCCCATGCATGCAGCCACTATGTACATAGAAAGGTAGACTGTATGCTAAGACAAACAATTGACTCAGACTAGATGCAAGCTGTACCTAACTGTTGCAATATATGTACATATTCAACCTAGAGACAGGCCTTAGCAAAGGGATGCATTCCTTACCCAGGGCTGCCTGTACCAGATTTGCTATAGGAAACATATCTAAAATACCTTAGAAGAAATTGCCTCTTTGCGTCGTTTAAAGCTGTTTTAGAATCACTGTCTTTTAAAAAGTCACTGTGGGTAGGTGAAGACAGGACCTGCAGAGAATGTTAATGGCATGCAAATATATGTCAGGAGTTTGGAACCCGCTGGCTGCAATTTGCAAATGCTAGTGCAGTTTCCATCACAATGATGCTACATTGTCTTCATATGTTTGAGAGCACCAGTAAGATCCTAAGATGAGATTGTCTCCTATTTCTAGTTGACGTGCATTTTCAAAACCCAAGTTTCTGTTTTCTATTAGCTTTTAAGCTATTAGCCTCATCCCATTAGAGAATTCTGGAATTCCTTTGCATATTTGTTTTCTGACTTATCAACATTCATGTAGAAAAGCAATTATGATTGTGAATCAGCATGATAATAAACCTGATTTTTTTTTAGTACTGCAATACATTTTATTTTATTTTTTTAAATCATTTTATTGGGGGCTTGGACAATTCATATCACAATGCATGCATACATCCATTGTGTCAAGCACATATGTACATTTGTTGCCATCGTCATTCGCAAAACATTTGCCTTCTACCTCCCCCCTCCCTCCTTCCTCCCTCGTGAACCCTTCATAATTCGTAAATTATTATTATTTTGCCATAAGTTACACTGTCTGACGTCTCCCCCCCATCCCCTTCTCTACTGTCCACCCCCCAGGGAGGAGGCTATGCGTAGATTCTTGTAATCGGTTCCCCCTTTCTAACCCACATTCCCTCCACTCTCCAGGCATCGCCACTCTCACCACTGGTCCCGAAGGAGTCATCTGTCCTGGTTGCCCTGTCCGACGTCTCCCTTCACCCACTTTTC